CTGCCATGTGATTGGTTGATTAGATAATTGCATTAATGAGAAATTGAACAGGTGTTCCTAATAATCCTTTAGGTGAGTGTATATGTGCCTGATGGACTGGCATCTTATCCAAGATGTCCCCAGTTCTGTGCCGTTGCTGCTTGTCAGGGGCTCCACGTTCACGCCATAACCCTACACAGGATACGTGGTACAGAAAATGGATAGATTTATTTTTTGTAAACACCAACAACATGATAAACTTGAAGGGTTAATTCCAGAAAGCAAGAACAATTTATTATCCCTCTATTTTGTTGGCCACCATGTCTGACCAGATTCATTTAGGTTGTGTTGAAAATGATTACGTCTACCAGTTTGCTGTGAGTTCTGATTCAGGACACCTGTATGGCCCAGTTCTTCCCATTTCTTGACTATACTCACCTGGGCTGTCCTGTTCTTCCCGTTTCCTGACTATACTAAACTGTGCGGCCCAGCTCTTCCTGTTCCCAGAGTGTAGTCTCATGTGTGTGGCCCAGCTCTTCCTGTTCCCGGAGTGTAGTCTCATGTGTGCGGCCCAGCTCTTCCTGTTCCCGGAGTGTAGTCACCTGTGCGGCCCAGCTCTTCCTGTTCCCGGAGTGTAGTCTCCTGTGCGGCACAGCTCTTCCTGTTCCCGGAGTGTAATCTCCTGTGTCGCCCAGCTCTTCCTGTTCCTGGAGTGTAGTCTCCTGTGTGCCCAGCTCCAACCCATTAGGCAGATGGAGCATCTGGTGGCCCTTGTTCACCCATTTGAATGATTACATCAGGTTCCTATATTGTGAGGCTCTGACTCCCATTTCCCGGCAAAATCCAGCCCTGCTTGTATCCATGTGGTCTCCACAGCGTGATGTTACAGGCAGACATGCTGCTCAGACCTGTTTATCTCCTACCACCTTCCTCCTACATTGGGTACAGCATTAGGTACCATTTATCTACATCACACTCAGGACCTTAAACCAGCTGCCCTCTTCACTGCTACAATTTTGTGTTTAATTAATATACCGCATGTTCAAAGGGCATCCATCCATCTGTCCATCCATCCATCCATTGTTCATAACCACTACAGGGTCAGGTGACTCTGAATCCTGGCAACGAAATGCAAGAAACGAAAGGCAGGGGACAATAATGGTTTTCTCTATACTAGGATTTATTTTTTTATTCCAGCTGGAGAATAAAGTTTTTTAAAATTGTTTTATGTTACATAAAACACTATTGATTGACTAACTGATGCTCCCTTTTTAAATTCTGTGTGTTTAGCTGTCACCCAGACAGATTCCACGGATCCGTTAAGGTAAGTAGCCATTATGCTTGCAGACAGCTGGCCAGGGTGTCTCAAAGCTGAGAGAGTCCCGAAAACAACAGCCAATCAGCACTGCCCCAGTGAGCGTGAGCAAACAGAGCCATGCGTGTGTGTCCATCATCCCCTTACACATGCACTGTTGTCAGTATCACCATAAATTTATCATTCCTGCAACCCACTTTGTCTCCGTGTTGCAAACACACCAACATGAAGCTATTGGTAGTACCTGGCACTCAGAACACTGGTAAGCGTATGTACATGCATACCTAATGTGAGGAGCAGCAGAGAAGCTGAATCAGCATTAATGAAATTTCTAGAATTGCTACATTATATTGAGAGTGAGCCCACTTTCATCGGTGTTACTTAAACAGTATGTGCTACAAGTGTTCCAATAACATGCCCAGTTCGAGGCGGGGGGGAGGGGGGGTGGGCGCTGCGTAGTCTTCTACGTAGACTTCTGAGGGGGTGGCAAATTATCAACTGGGGGGGGGGCTTGATTCTTGTAATTTGGTCCTTTTGAGCAGGACCCCCCCAGGCACATATTTTGTCCCTTATGGGGGGGGGTCTCTGACCTTTTTTGGGGGATCATGGGACCCCCCCATTTCCTCTTCAATTTAAACGCTGCGTGCCACCCCTAGTGTGCCTCTGTCTAAGGTCATGTTTAGGGTATATGACTCCCATGTCCTCCTCGACAGCTTTGTGACAACGTCCCCAAAAAGGGCCAATAAGTCACCAGCCCGGACAGGTATTGTTTCTGAGGTCACACTACATCAGCACATGTGACACTGTGGTGTCGTAACAATGCAACATGGCCTAAGGCTTAGGCAGGAGTGAGTAAAAGAATACCAGGTCATTATTAATTTACTTGCCATATATTTTTATTCCAAGCAACCTATGTACACAGCTTGCTGTTTTGTTCACACATAGTTAAATATTTACCGGTGTGATGTGGGTTAAACTACCAAAGCAGGGTTCTGAGGCTGCTTCCTTCTTGTTATTCAGAAAGGTAGCGTCACTTTTTGATTGGCTCTTCAACCCTTTAACCACCACACTGCCACCTGTGTGAAACCGTAAGCTTCATTCAACATTTTTCTTGGTATTCCTGCAATATTTAAATAAGACCTCCTTTAGCTTGCAAATGGCTCATTTGCGTATGTGACTCAGCAACCCTCGTTACATGCAGAAACATATTGTTAAGCAATAAAATATTTTTCAATGCTTTCAGCTTGGGGATTCACTAAATCTCACCTCTGCTTATTCCACTATTTCCCAATAAAGAATGTTTTGTATTTGTGTTCGCTCTTTGTTTTGACCTGTGTTCATTGTACAAGCAGGACTATTTAAGCACATTAAAAACCTGGGTCTGGTAAACTTGCCTTTAGGGGGGAAAAAAAAGAGAAACCCAGACTGTAGTGATGCCTGACTCCTTTGTTTGACATTGTGAGACACTATTTGAATAGCCGGCCAACGGGCCTGTGAAACGACCTGTTCCGCACGCCTGTCATTGCCATGGAAACTAATCCACCAAACGGCAAACCTGAACGCCCAGTGACAGCTAGCTTAGGTGGCATCCGCCTTACCACCAGCTTGCTGTCAACAATTGCCTTACACTTGGGCTGGACATGGCCAATAAAGTTGATTTTGATTCTGTCAAGGTGCATGGTTTGTGCTCCTTGCCAGTTTGGATTTGCCCCCCAACCCAATGAGCACAAGCTCGATGAGTTTACATATTTCATCACCGACTCCTTTAGCTATTTGAGCAGCATGGGGGACAGGGCTGCTATTATGGGCTGCCTTTGTCTTCTGCTTGACCAGCAGCTGGTCCCGTAGTTGCAGTCAAAAGCCTATGGAGACATTATGCTCCAGGGCACATCGCCGGAAGTGTTGCACATCACACATGCAGCACGGTCCCATCACATCATGGCAATGAAGTGCCTAACAAAAAAAGCCAACACCCCTTCTCTGCTAAAATATCCGACTTCTAACTGCTTATCCTGCCAGTCTAATAGGGGTATATGCACACTACGGGCAATTTAGAGACAAACTAGTCTAATTGCATGTGTTTTGACTCTGGGGGGGAACTTGCATACAAATTCCAGACACATTTTCAGAAAAAAATTGGTACAGTCCTGGTACAGATTTGTTCCCCAGGTTACAAATAACATTAATGTACCCCCAATGGTATAAAATAAGTGCCCCTTAGTATTCTTAGACTAAAAGGTACATCTACCTACAGCTAGGGCTTTCAAACCCTTGATGGTACAGGCCCAGTGACATGTAATTGTGCCCTCAAAGGTACAAACCGGTAATTTTTTTCCTGATTTTGTACACAGAGCACAAGTGGGATCTGATCCGCAAAGCCTGGAGGCGTGAGGTAACAGAGCTATCAACCAAGCCAACATACCACCCCCAACAAAAGCATAAAGAAAAGCTCCATATTTCATTCAAAATGATGACCAATATTACAATAGTTTTATTGCATGGTTTATAAATGTAACATGTAATAAACAATAGTATGACACAAAAACAGCATGAATTGACATTGTTTTTGATTCCCGCAATGGGAGGGAAGGGGAAATTCTGTGTTCCCCTTCTGTTGCTGACACTTTACAAAAGTTAGCATCTGGATAAATGCAGAAGAGAAAGATAATAGGTGGCCGGGTCATAAAGATCAGCAGCAGGAAGTCACTGTGATATTGCCAGTTAGCCAGAGAGCAGGAGACAGGGCGCCAGGCATTCAACTGCTCACTGGGTGGAAAATAAACACAAGTTCAGCTGTTGCCAGGTTTAGCCAGGTGGGGCAAGACCCGAATGGTCAAAATCGATGTCTCCTGCTTTCTTTACGGCTTTAATATATCTAAAATGATAGATTGATTAAAGACTGATGAAAGAATTTTTATAGGCCTAACAAGCAGTTTACGAAAAGGACATCTGTAGAAGCACCTGCTGATTCATACTGACAAAACCGGTTTTTCACGTATGCAAATATTGCAACGCTAATGTCACCTCATGATTTGAATTATATCTTTATGCCCTAAGGTTTGTCTCCATCAGATGAGACAATCTGCCAGGACTGCAATATTAATATTGCTTTTATACCTGTGTAACGTAATTAAAAACATCTGATCCATTATCTTCACGTCACGATCATGGACGATAATGTAGCTAAAATGGCTACAAGGCTGCCGCAAAGTAGACCTGAAAGTAGATTACCAGTACAAGCCTTGGGTACCGCCATTCTGCCAGAGCCAGTAGAGAGGGATTTATTGTATACTCACGGTGAAGCTGATTCATAAATAATTTAACAAAAAATTAGGGTGTCGACAAAAACATTTCGATAAAAGATTTTGGTAGATTATAAAATAAATGTATTAAGTGTTATGGTAGGGTTTCTGTAGGGTCATTGAATTAATCTGGAGACGTCTAATTAAAATATTATTTTTAAAGACATCTACTTATGTAAAAAATATATGTTAAAGTTTTATGAAAGGCAAGCGAAAGTTTAAGTCGCTGTCATGTTAAACGAAAATAATGAGTGTGCATGTTGCGTGTTCTGACTCTAATGTGCCCAGGGGATTAAACCAAATACCTCGTGCCTATTTATTACAGATGCCGATATTGCCTTATTCTAGCCTAGAGCCAAATAAATGCGGAAAGACCTTTACAGATGTAGCTGGTACAGTTTAATTTGGTTCAGTGGAAATTAATCACAATCAATTAAGACTGTCTCATTTAGTCTGGGTGGAATGACGATTTTGATCTATATCGAAGAAAAATCCTGCGATGTCCTTGGAAGTAGAGTTTCCTTCTGGGCGTCCGCTTGCAGAGAGTCTGTACCTGCTTAACGCGAGCCGAACGAACAAAACTTCATCAGCAGGTATTGTACGTGTGGCTCAGCGTGAGGCAAACACAGCGACCGTCGCAGGTACGACGGATCAGGGCAAGTTACTGTCGTCAGTGTCGCACCCGCCCTGGGGCTCCGTTTCCCGTGTTCAGGAAAACTTGAACCGCCACACCTTACTCCAAGTTCCAGGTGCCTTTCCTCTCTCGCTATAAACTTAAAAGAAAAATAATGTAGCGCCGTAACAAGTTCTGGTGTGATTTACAAAGTACCTTTTGTGGAAATGCACTACTTAAAAATGACACGCATTTCCAGACCGTCGTGAAGTGGAACATACAGCTGAAACAATGTACATACGCACATAGACGTACCCTAAAAGCATATATAAAAGTTACCTAGTGTACCAGAAACACACTTACCTGCCAAGTCACGTCCCTGTTCTTCCTAGGGGAATTGAAATTTTGCGGCCAGTGGCGAGTATAAATACTCGAAATCTACCTGAGTACTCCCCAGTTCACCTTTCCTTTCAGTGATGGGGGAGAGAGCGCGCGTGTGTATCCCTCTGCCTACACCTGTCATACCGTGCGTTTGCTCAGACCTAATATTGACACAGACCTTTGGAGGGGGTGGGGCTGCCCGTTAGCAGACGATTAACTCGTCCTGATGGTTCCAGCCTTGCATCTACATGCCAACCGAAGCATCACAATAGGCAGGGCCCATGGTGCGCTCCGATTGGCTGTCGTTCGCTCCCAGCGGCCGAGCGAGAAACGGAAGAGGCCGAAGCGCCGAGTCTATTCATTAACCTGTGTTGACGGAAAGAGAGCAGCACCTGTCCAGTCACCTCCCTCCAACTGATTTACACAAATATTTCCATATGGCTTGCAAATTACTCACTGTTACGGTGCCTGCATGTAGGCTATAACAGACACCCGAACGACTGCTTACCCGTGTGTATTTGTTTATAAAATGTGTGACAGGTTAAGCCTATATTTACATGGCCTTCATACATAGGTAAAGCTTGGGGAGACATTACGTGGAAGCGCTATAATTCATTTATTAAGTTTCCAAATGACATTTCGTCTGAGAGTTATGAAGTAATTTCAAAATAGTCATTTATTTAAATAGGGCTAATTTAAGATTTTCACAAGAAGGATTACATTGTGCCACGAGCCATTATAGTTACACCTATTAGAAATATGTAATGCTTGATATTTTTATATGTCTGCCTCCATAATGTATTTTAGCTGAAAGTGGAACATAAACGCAGAAAAAAAACGTTTGCGGGGAAAAGCATTGATTTTTTTCCATGCTTATAAAAGATCTCATTTTAACACCTAGGGATTGTAACTTTTTAGAATTCACATAAATCTATACCACTTAGGCAATATGAATTTATTCAGGCATATGCCTAACATTCACTTGTATCGGAGAAATCGTTTCCGTTTACAAGAGGGGTATAGTCATGTTGCAAAAAATAGGGGGAGTTATGTGCAATAAGTGATTAATGCATACAATGTAACATATGGAATATCAACATAATATAAGGTAAGTCCGATACATTAATTAGAAGCATTATATGACTATTGTTCGTCTGCGAAAAAAATTCTAAAGGTCGTGCAGGGAAGGATTAGGCTACCTGAAATCGGCGCTGAAAATTTTCAGTCCAAATTGTGGAAAAGGTATCGAGATAGATGGCGTTTCCTTTTGACACGTCATGATCGTTTTCCTACAATGCAGCAGTCTTCAGTTTATCCAAATCGATTCCGTGAACTATGCCACAGCACCTCCTTGTGCTGATTTACAATAATACCGTGATTAATTGTGGTGTGGGACTTTCCACGCTGCGGTGTACGTTTCGTAGTAGGCCGGTACTATATATACGCATTAGATCTTCAATCAACAGTTGGTGACTACATCGCAGTTTCACTTAAAAACACAGTTTTTTTTCTCAGAATAAAACATGAGAATGTCTTAAATTTAATCAAGATATTACATCACACGAGCTCGTGGAAAGAACATACAGTGGTACCTCGGTTCTCGAACTTAATCCGTTCCGAACTCCGGATCGAATCATAAAAAGTTCGAGTTCTGATCGATTTTTTCCCATAAGAAATAATGTAAAACCAATTAATTGGTTCCCGGCCCCCCAAAATGACACCTAAATATGTTTTTTTTTTTTTTTTTTAGCATTTAAACACAGAATGAACAGGATAACAGAAGAAGAGCATTTTTTTCTTAATGGTTTCCAAAACTATAAAGATAAAGATCTTATCCCAACATTACCCTAGCTGTCCTGCCCCGATCGTCGGCTCCTTCCGTGTGCCACGCCCCCTCGTTAACCTCGTGTGGGATCCCCATGTGATCAGCTGTTTCAGTTTGTTTCCTCAGTCCGGTCATTGGGTGCGTTCGACTTGCTTACAGCGCTGGCTTAAAGCAACGCATTCTGATCCTGACGCAATGCATTACGGTTAGATGCATTGCGACCTCTCACCCGGCTGCTCAAACTGGAACCGCCTCCATGACGACACACCTTTGCCCTTATTGGCTGAAGAGTTTAGTTACACGCATGACATTTGTATCCCAGGCAGTTCCGATGCGTAATCTGCTATTTCTCCCGAATATCACGTAAAGCGGTGAGAACTGGTTTTCAGTTAATGTACCTGGTAAAATAAAGTTCAAACAAATGACATAAATGCTCCAATAATACGTGTAAGTTAGTGGTTTATTTATTAGTAGTTACTGTAATGTTGCTGCTTTATTTGGTTAATCGTCCAGTCTGTGAAGAAGGCATTCAAGTAAGAATTGCATTGCAGTATGACTCATTTCCTGGCGCGTACAATTTATATTAGGTCAACGTTCACGGTTCGACTTCTGATATACAGATAGAGTTCTAGGTCAAACTGGTTTGTTCGACTTTCAAGAAATTCGAGTTCTAGTGAGTTCGAGAATCGAGGTACCACTGTATCTGCTCAAGACTCAAAAAACACTGGTTTACAGGATTTCATTTTAATACAAACAATTTTATTAAACATTCAGTAACAAATAGACAGCATATGGTCCAAATAAAGGAGATCCTGATTTGGTTCATGAGTCATAAACACAGACACAGTGTATGTACAGACCGTGCGGCATCTAACGATGCATTAAATGGCTACTGCATTGAACAAAGCATATTCAGCACTTAACGTTGTTGTCATCAGAATAATCTCAAAACGAGGAGATTCATTCGTACAGCACAGAAGCAGACACCCAGGCAATACTTAAGCTCAGTAGACTTAGTAGGAATAGGAAGCAGAAAGAGGCTCTGCGGGCATTGTGACAGGAGGTGTTCACAGTGATGCCCCATCGGCCCGCAACGTCAAATGTCAGGAGAGAAATGAGGTCATGGGTTCATTCACGCCACAGAAAAAGCACTGCCACACAAACGTAAGAGCAAGGGTAGGGTGCTTCAGGAATGCTGTACAATACCGATGGGTAGATCGATACCTTAATACCCATAATTCTTACAACAATTTTTCTTCTCGTAGGTATAGTCACAATGCTTTAAAAATTCACTTCCGAAATTTCCGCAAATACACAGCGCATACAACAGATCCTCAGTGACACAAAAATACCAGAAGCCCACCGCGTGATTGAATTTGTAAGAAGTTAAAAAGGATCAGTCTATTTCTATATTCAGTTGTATCAAGCAGATTAAATCTTTAAGAACGAGTAAAAGTTATTTTTTTCCATTTTACGTTTATGTAGAGGGTTTTTATTTTGTAACAAATCAAGTGTTGTTACTTTTTAAAATATAATCAGCATTTAAAATAATTTATATAATTACCATATTCAAAAATCTTATCAAAATATTTAGTATCTGTAGTTAATAAAATATTCATATTGCCATTGAATTCAAAATGTGTAGTATTGGATTTTACTGCCCTTTAACGCCTCCTAGTCTTCAGCGGGCGTGGGATACCATGAAACTGAAATTCAGCCGACTACGTCACACGTAACACAAACAACGTTGTCAGACCATCGCAACTTAAGTCATTATTTGTTAGAAGAGAAATTTACAGTGAATCATTTCAGATGTTCAGATGATAAAAAAAAATCTAAACTTTCACTAGATTTAAATCTGCCATGATTTAAAAAAATAAATCTAAAATATCCGGCAGTGTTACTGTTTTATAATAGTTTACACCTGAACTTTTCATTTCTGATGCAGCTACACGCCATTTTTACGCAGCAATTCCTAAATCACTACGCAGAACAGCCGAGTGCTGATTTAATAAAACTACACAACCCCGATTGCCGGTAATCTCTGACAGGTCAAGAGAGTTACTTTTCAGTTGCCATCTGAAATAGTGTTAATCCTTTCATTTTGTCCACCACTTTGTTGTTACAATATATAATTTTAGTTTTTATACAAAATTTTAACTTCTCTATCAGCGATAGGAAAATATGTTGTGCAAAAACAACAGAGTGGCTTTAAACTGCTTAAACTCTGCACTGACTGTATGTAATTCAATCAAGAAATAACTTTAAGAAAAAACCTCTGAATTTTGTTTATGTAAATTTTTTCCCCCCTTTTAACATTGCTCAGCATAACACCGTTTGATTCAATAAAGTATCCTCTGCTCCAGACAATAAATGTGTGTATAACATATATACACTGCATTTTAATCTTACAAAAAATTAACAGTGCATTTTTGTAAAACATGCTTAATATCAATTCACAGTGTCACTTTTAATTTTTTCCTCAATTTTTCTTTCCCCCATGTTTACTCAATAGGTCTTAAAGTTTATGTACAGTTGACATAATAGAACTCACATACAGTATCAGTCAAAAGTTTGAGTATACTTGCTGAGAACTAGTCTTTTTTTTTTACATCATATATTCTTCTATAAATATTTGAAAATAACACAATATGCAAAATGATACACCAAAGCAGTATTCAAGAAATTGGAAAGCCTTGGATTTCTCAAAATAGCTACCATTTGCCTTGATAACAGCTTCAGAAATGCAGGACATTTGGTTGCGTTTCAGTAGGAAACCACCGAACATGTCCTCCCAGTTGTTCTGCAGCAATCTCAGAAACGTAAGGTGCCAGTAGATTGCTTCGCTTTGCCTCTTCTGTGGAGCTGTCCCATACACCTTCTGTGGGACTGAAGTTTGGAAACTGAGACATTCAGATGATTACTTTGTGTTCTCCTTCACTTTTCTTCGCCTGATAGCTTTCGTACAATTTTGAGGTTTGTTTTGTGCCATCATCTCCCTGCAGAATGAAGGATGCAGCAATGCCATAATTCCGAAGGAATGGCAGGTATTTGAAGTATGGAATTGATATAGATCAACTGTCACAAGCAAAGCCGCTCCAGACAGTGACACTGTCACTTCAGTGCTTGAGAGTGGGAACCACCCATGCAGAACTCATGTCCGGACACCATCTGTCTTCTACAAAAATATCGGGCCCAAATATTTTAAGTTAGTCCATAATATCAACATCCACTGGACCCACAAATTTTAAGCTAATATCAACTTCCACACCCAATAACAGATAAGTGTGTACATTTTAAAGAATACATATTTATGGTTACAGGCAGGTACACTCAATTGTT